CCCATTTTCCCACCACCCAGTAGTATGAGCTCACAGTTCTCAAAGCAGTTCTAATTTGGTACCTGGTGAAAAGATTTTCTTTAGCTTTGAAAAGTGTTTAACCCATTGGATCATAATCAAAGATGAGTTCACTGATAACAGCATGATACTGTTAATCTGTACTCAAGTTGTAGAGGGGACATGCTAGGAGGGAATCCTTCTGTGAGCAGGGAACAGGTACTGATCAGCTGAATCAGCCTGCAAGTCCTTACTGCCACTCCACAGCACTCAAAGAGGGAAAATTCAATCCTTTTATCATCCCTCTTCAGCCCTAGCCAAGCCACATGCCTAAGACTGGATGCAGGCAGACAGCATGCCTCGGGTTTGGCCACGCACAGTTTAACTCCCAGTCTGGTTGGCATAGCCCGGTGCAAAGATCTACCATGGTCTGTCATCTGCTTGCATTACTTACCAATTCCAAGCAACACCATCATATTTTTTATGGGAGTATCTTGTACAAAGGAAGAGCATGGCCAGTTTTCATCGCTCTGGCAACCTTTCAATGCTACGGATTCTGTACATTATTCCACCACAGTGAAGCTGAGATCCTGCCTTTGGTACAACCCCAACAGACTATTGCAGTTTACATTCCTCTACGTGTTTTACTGGGTTTGCTGTTAATTTCTCAGGATAAACATGTATCACTAGTTTAGATTCTGTAACAGCTTTTTCTCATCAAAACTAGAAACAGGAACCTTTGTGGGGAAAATGGTAAATATGTTAGCTCACTTAATAGATAATTTAAATTTCATTTCAGCCCTCAAGGAGTGTTATTGGCATAAAATAGAAGGCTCATCAGGGCTGGAAATGGTGGTATTTCAATAAACTACTTAAGGGTTTTACAGTGGTAATACACACTTGTCTTAATGTTCCTCAGCATTTATAACAAGTTGACAAATATTCAGTAACTAAAGGTCATTTCATTAAATGAAGAGTTCTTGTTTTATAGTCTCAAGTACAAGCTTTGAAATTGTTAGAGAGCAGATTAAACACTGAACTCCCCAGACATACATATCGGTCGTGCAGGATCATATATCACATAAATGAGCTTCTTGAAACACCTGACATTTACTCATAACACACTGCTACAAGTGGCAAAAACATTCAGTTCTTAGTCATTTATATGCTTCATGTGCCTTAACTGGGAGACACAAACCACAGGAAAAGCTGAAAGGACTCAGCACTGTCAAGGCTGTTCCCAGAGCAAAGCCATGGCCACTGAGACTGCTGAAAATGTTCTTACCAAAGCCAGCAATTCTGCAGCAGATACATAACCTCCATGAACAAGAGCAGACCATTTACAAGTGCAAATATTATCACTTCTAACACCAGCCATTTGATTTGCATCAATCTTTGCAGCAAACTTCCTGATGAGGTTCAGTGGGGGAGACCTCTCTGTACCATCATTCCTCACTGTGAGGCTCTTGAGTACCACACAGGCAAGTGCACCAAGCCTAGTCCAGCACCAGGACACAGAGAAGGAGGAGGTGAGTCAGGCAGTTCTGCTTACCAAACAAGCCCTGCAAAACCTGTGCTGCTGCATCTATACCATCCAGCAGGAAGGATCTGCCTTGAAACCCTTTCCAAGAGGTCTGAAAATCAACAGTTAAGAAGGACAGCATGTAGAGACATCTTTTGCCCTAGCATGCGAGCTGTTTTTTACAGTGGTTCAGCTTTCACCCTGTATCAACAGTACATAGATCCTCTGTGGTCACACTTAGAGTAAATCATTCTGCTGAGAGATTCAGCCTTCTCTCTGCTATTAGTTTAGCTGTGGAAAGTAAAAGTTAAAACATATTATAACACGCAAGGAAAGGCATGGTATTGCTCCTTCACTAATTATTCAATATTTTTACCTAGAAGCCAAATTGGCACTGACTCACCAGTGAATAGCCAGTATCTCATCAATATATATCCAAGAAGAAAGTCGACTAATAATTAAAAAATATTACAGTAAGTCCAAGTAGCTGAGAAATGAAACTCCTTCATAAATCCTACTTTCAACATAATACATTATTAATTTATCTTTAGGGAAGAATTAATATCTCTTGCTGGACAGCCAGTTAAAAAAGCACAAATCCACATCATGGGAATAATGAAACACTGAAAGAATGACACTTTCAATTGTTCTTTTTAGGATGTGTAACTTTGTATTTGCATATCAAAACTGGTAATTTTTAATGAGACAGATTTCTGATAATTCTTTGCCTGTTGATAAGACTTCGAACCCCTACTAGCTGCCAGTTGATGACATAAAGTGTTACCATAGATAAGGTTCAGCAAATCAACCAGTGAATTTTATCACTCCTTTTTTTAGTTTTAGAAGAGCCAAATGGATTTAAGATCAACAAGGTATAAAGGATCTTTCTTAATGGATAAGCTGAATGGAGAGAAGTCTTATAAGGGTGGTAGGAGCTTTTCGGTGGTGTACAACAGAAAACCAGCTGATACACAGAGAACACAGCTCAAAACTTTGTGCTCATTTCTAAAGTGATTGAAGCTATTTTCCATTTTAACATGATTAGAATTTCTTTTTCCTAAGTAACTCTTTGGCCATTTGAAATAGCATGCTGCTTGGAGTTTTGAAGCATTTTTGATGGATGCTTTCCTCTGTTCATTATCCTTCAAACTCTATGTAAAATTCCCCACCAAAAAAAAGTATCCTATACCTTCAAAAAACACCAAAAATTCAAGAAACAGCATTGTCACTCTGCCTTTCGGTGGCCAAGATGAGAAGCCCACCGACTTACTCAGTTTAATTGTCATTAACCACACCTGTAAAGCAAAGAATTTCACTAATGTCTGGTGGTGGTGGTATCACAAAGCTCCTGTGGGGCGACTTGTGCCCACAACTTGCACAAACACTGCTCAGATAAGAGCATACCTTACTCTTGGTATTGGCTGTCTTAAAAGCCAGCAATCTTTAAAGATGCTTCATTCCTATTGTGGAATTCTGGCTTTTCTAAGAGTTGTTTTAAACAAGAATACAAACACTAAACAAAATACAAGTTACCATTGGGAATGGAAGAAAATAGTTGTTGGATTTACTAGAAAAGGGACTGTGGACATAAAGATGTTTGCCCTCGCCTCCAACTCACTTTAGGTCTCATTATAAGTTTAAGTTTTTCATACCATATAGCAGTTTTTCATTAATAATTAATTTAGCCTCTAGAAATTTGCATTATCTAGGTGTACACGTGAGTAGACAAGATGCAGAACAAGTATTCTAACTAGTTTCATTGAACTAACAAGTTTCATTAAATGTGCTGATAAAGTAACTGTGCATAAAATTGCAGCATTTGAAATAAATCTGAAGCAACCTGGATGTTGACTGGAAAGCAGGCACATGTGTACTAGCAATCAAGGAGTGGAAATAAACTCTGTTGTCAACACCCAAACATTGCTTTTGGTATGAAAACTAAATAGACTTAGTAATGCAATTACTGATTACTGTTCATCTGATGGAAGTGCAGCAGAATACATCATTACACCCTAAACTCCAGAGTTGGATTAGATTTTCACAGACTTTGGACTTTAAAAAGAAAAAAGCTTTAGGCATGAGTGAATGGCAGCATCAGAGACAATTTTCAAGCTTCCTGCATGAATATCCCATCTGCTTCCCACTTTGATGCTGGGCTAAGACCTAGGTACGGAGAAGGCCAGAAGGGAGATGCCATTCTCTCCAACCATGACCTTGAAGCACCAAGAATCAGCACCTATGAACCTCAGCCTTGCAGTCTGGATGTCATCTCTGCCCTTCAATACTGTTTGGATTAGGTGCTTGAGGCAAAAGGATGTCTTACAGCACAAGCAACAAAAGTTGGGGGTGCCAGAAGAAGCAGCAAAGCAGCCTGAAGTGTTCCTCACGCAGGAGTCTTGCAATTGAACTTTCATTAGAAATGAGCAACCTGCAACCTAAAATCCCACCAAAGAATTGGGAAGAGAGGTAAGGGAGAAAGAAAGAGGCTGCTCCCCAAATTGCTCCCCACTGTTAGGATCCAGGAGCAAACTCTGGCAAACAGCACGTTGTTACAACTCAAGACAGATGGAAATGTGCTTACTTGTCAAAGCTGTTATCTCCTAAGAGGAAAGAAATTATGTTGTCTTGAACATGCTGTGGGTAACAGACAGGGAAAGGTCCAGAAATAGAACAAAACTAATAATATAAAACCAGGTTTGGAAGATGAAATGAAAGCTGTCTTTCACACAAAAAGGGCTGTGCTTTTTCTTAATAGATAAACCCCCTCTTTTTTAGTCCCAATAG